ACTTTCCCTAGTTTAGAGGACTTTATGAAATCTAACTCCTTTCGCCGTATCATCATTGCCTTGGGCGTTTTGTTTGTGATTGGTTCTTGTTTTGATGTTTCATGCCTTAGTCCTATGACTCTGACTAGGGTTTATACAAGCCATGGAAACTGTTACTTAGTGTTCTCTGCATTACTTCTGTCCTCTATTAAAATATTGTGAATTAAAAAAAAAAAAAAAAGAGAGTCACGGCTTTGTCAAAGAAAAATTCAAATATTAAAATTCGCTGAAAGAGGCTAGTTTTGTTTTGTGAAATGGGTGTTTTGATTTCAGTTTCGTTTTTTTTTTTGGTTTTGTAAAAATTATATATATGCATATATTATATCTACTTTTTTTTTCAAATAGTCTTTTTGTTCAAGGTGGAAACACTTCGTCTATCACCTTAAGTGAGTATCTCCGGACATAGAAACAATCCAAATGATATTTAAAAATTAGTAAAAAAAAAGTATCTATAATTTTAATTTTTTTTAAACAGGAATCTAAAAGCTCAAAACTAAAGAAAAATAATTAAAAACAATTGAAATGAAAAAGTCGAAGTAAGTATACTTTTTGGTTGTCCCTCCGGCTTAGTTCGATAAAATTAATTAGTTGTTTAGGAAATAAAATCAAGAAGAATTAAAAATGGAAAATTAATATACGATGATGATTTGTTTACTTATTAACCTGTATGTTAAGAATTCCTTGAGGCTAATTTCTGTTTTATCCGGATTTTAGATTTTGGTGGTTATTAACGGAATGTTGGTATGTTTTACATTGTACTTGAACATTTGCATCTATTATAAAATAAAATTATTTTGCTCAAAATCATCAAAGACAGAGAGCGGTCAATTTTTTGTTTTTGAGATTTCAGATTTTTATGTTTTGAAGAAAAACGTATTCATGTTCCCCTTTTACGGTTTAATTCGAGTTTTGTTTGTATTTAATTAGAATTAGTTTTTTTTACCATTGGTTACATGAATATTATATCGAAATTAAAGTTATTTATGTTAATTAATAATGGATTCAATAGCTTTGGAGAATTTTGATATGTAATTTTTCTCTTTTTTTTTTTACGGGAACGTATTGGACTTTTTTATATTTTAAATATTGGTAACTTCGATTTATTCCGAGACAGTAAAATATCAAATTACTCGTAATTATTTGGAAATATATTAGAAAAATGCATAAACCCTCCTCTGCTCAAGAATCCTAATCCTCTCTTCAGATTTCCCTCAGAGAATGCGTGGAAGATAGCACAGTGAACGGGAACCGCATTTCTCCAACTCCTTTTCCGGGAAAATTTTCCAGGGTTCCCGGGGAGTTTATATAATCACTCGCATGCCACCCGGAAAATCTCGAACAAAACCCTGAAATGCAATCATCGCATCGCTTCTTCTCTCGCCTTCTTCAATCCCCGGGGAAGTGTTGCAGCAGAACAAGTGTCGTCAACGCTGGAGTTTTTGTCCAGTCACTGTCTCGAATCGACCAAGGCCATGGACTCCTTGAGACCCATCAAATTTTGGGTATTCCTCTTCGTTCGTATTCGCAGTCGAGAGGGTTTTTCTCCAGGAATTGCTCAGTTGGGGGTTTAACCGTGCGAGCTTCTGTTTCGTTCGAAAGGGACGACAATCTCCGGATTGATCCGTATTCGTCTCACCGGAGTATGTTTTTCTTAGTTCTGACCATTGATTAAAGCATACATGTCTTGGTTACTATGTCATTCTCATGTTCGAGGAATCTTTCTGGGTTCGTTGTTTTGTGCAGATTTCTTCACTCGAGCGAAACAAGTGAAGCGAATTGAGGTCAATGATGAACACAGGTAATACTGCTCATTGTTTTCTGATGATTTGCTTATTTGTGTTTCTGTGTCCATTTGTATGTGTATGTTAGCGGTTGTCTGTCTTCAGTTAGGGTTGAGGTTAATCAAGCATGGAGCAGAGTGATTCTATCAAGTGAATTCTCACTTCCATGACTAGATTCCTGGAAATAAATCTTGTTTAATGGTTGTCATGTTCCCAAATGGCGAGGTTCTTAGTTTATCACAGGGAAGATTGCGATAGTTTTGGGTGGATTTCGGTCCCACATAGGTTCTGTTTTCTTGTTTAGTTTCAGAGCCATTGTCGTGTGGTTTTATAGTTCCATTTCTTAGTGACGGGGAAGGGAAATAACGAAAGGTGAAGCTCCTCCATGAGCATTAACTGGTTGTCAATTTCCTGCTCTTGAATTCCTATAACTATACATACACCCTTTCGCCGGTATTTATCCTTAAGTTGTTATTTTGGTTAACTTCTTGCAGTCAACGGGCTGTGACTACTGCATTGTGGTGCAACTTCCTCGTCTTTTCGCTTAAGTTTGGGGTTTGGTGGTCGACTTCTAGCCATGTCATGTTGGCTGAAGTTGTTCACTCAGTTGCCGATTTCGCTAATCAGGTTTGTCACCAAATGAGTTGTTCTTTGCTTCTATGATTCCACCTGAATGTATAAATTTATCAGTTGCAGAGAAGTTTGGTTCATTTTTTCATACTTGTAGGCACTTCTTGCTTATGGCCTCAGTAGCTCAAGACGTGCCCCAGATGCCATTCATCCGTGAGTCTCCAATAATTTCATAATGCTTAGAGTCTATGGCAGAGTGGGTTTTTTTTCCTGTTTCTTTTGTCCCGAAAGAGTTAGACCAATTTCTCATTTTGCTTCCTCAGCTATGGTTACTCAAAAGAAAGATTTGTATGGTCCTTGATATCTGCTGTTGGCATCTTTTGCCTTGGCTCTGGTGCTACCATCGTTAATGGAGTGCAGAACTTGTGGACTTCAGAGGTAGCTGATTCAAAAAACCCTAATTGACCTCCATTTCTTCTGCCGTGTTTACCCTTTTCTATTTCTGTTATTTTTTTTCTCCATATATCCTTGGTGGTATCCGAAATTGCTGTTCTTAGAGTTGCTTGTCTTCTTCAGCCAGCACCAAATATGGAGTACGCCGCTTTGGTAATAGGAGGTTCATTTATAATTGAAGGTATGAACTTGGTTTTTTCTCTCTCTCTCTCCTCTCCGTAGCAAGAGTTCATGTGAATGCCGGGTCAACTTTGGTTTTTTTTTTTTTATAATTGTTTGTTTTATGATTGTTTTTGCCTTTAGGTGCTTCACTTATCGTTGCTATACAAGCCGTCAGAAAAGGAGCGGCTGCAGAAGGTATGACTATTAGAGATTACATATGGCGTGGCCATGATCCTACCTCCGTTGCTGTTATGACAGAGGTAACTTTTTTTTGTTCTTTTATAATCACTACTGAGCAATCACCATTTGAACATTGACCAAGCTGTTGTAATATTTTTTTCCCTTTTTGTGTTATCGGTACAGCTAGTATCATTTTTCTTATGTGTGTATATATATGCTGATATATAATTGTGAATATGCAGGACGGTGCTGCAGTGACTGGTCTCGCGATTGCAGCTGCGTCTCTTGTGGCTGTTAAGACGACGGGAAATCCTATTTACGACCCTGTCGGATCTATTTTAGTTGGGAATTTACTTGGAATGGTATGTTCAAGTTCTACACGACTCGAGATATTATTCTTGATGCTTAAGCTGTATGCACATCATAGTAGCACATTTTTCTAAACTTATAAGAAGAATATGGATATCAGGTGGCTATATTTCTCATTCAGCGGAACCGGCATGCCCTGATCGGGAGAGCAATGGATGATCATGACATGCGTAAAGTTCTTCATTTCTTAAAGAACGATCCGGTACACGTCCATTTTTTCTTGACATGGAAAGCTCATTTGCCTTAGGAATACCAAAGTAGAGCCATTAATGGTTGAGCTTATATTTGAACTAGAAACCTTTCTTATAGGTTGTAGATGCTTTGTACGATTGCAAAAGTGAAGTGATTGGACCTGGTTCCTTTAGATTTAAAGCGGAAATAGGTAAGTTCCTCTTCCTCAGCCCTATAGCTCGTTACCCATTTCGTTTCTTTTAAGCATTGCTTTTTTGGCTTAAAGTTTTGGCTTATTCATTACTTTGATACCACGGTTAAATGAAATGTTTTGTTCTCTGATCTATCTGCATGAAACAAATGGTACCTTGTGATATAGTTGTTGGATGTATCAATAGAGCGATTTTGGTGAATAGGTGTTTGTCTTTTCGTCATCTTAACCAGCATCTTAGGTTGTAGTATATATAAGATGTTCTTCGGAATAAGAAAGGAAAGAAACATGACTCAAACTCTTAACGGGTTGTTGATGAAACACAAAGAGCCGAGATGAAACATTGAATGTTTGTATGCAAACAGATTTCAACGGAGAGGTCGTTGTCCAAAACTATCTGAAGAGAACTGGCCGCGAAGAGTGGGCAAGACAGGTGAGTGAATACATCGGCTCCTGTCTGTTTCTTTTTTTAACTTTTAGTCGGTGAATTTTCCATCCGGGCAACGCCCAAATAGAGTAAGCTAACTCTCGGAAACTTGGAAACGGTACTTTAGTTCCGCGAGGCTGCAAAGAAAGGAGACGAATCTGCACTGCTCAAGATAATGTCAAACTATGGTATGTGACTGGATTACCCGACCCGACCCAAGTAGGAAAGTAGCGTCGGGTCCATGCTTGTTAATATAGGCTCGGACTAAAACCCGAGCTCTCTCGATGCAGGGGAGGAGGTGGTTACAGCTTTGGGAAGTGAAGTTGACAGGCTAGAGAAAGAGATACAAGAACTTGTTCCGGGAATTCAGCACGTAGACATTGAGGCTCACAATCCTGTAGATCCATCTCTATGATCTCCCTTCACTCTCTCGTTGTATGAGATTGGTTTTGTTTTTTTTTTCTGTCTGAAAAAGAAAGCAACGATAGGATTTCATAACACATGAACAAATCATTCTCTTCAAGAATCTATATATATGTATATGAAGAGCAATTTCTTTCTCTTGCGTGGTTGATTTTCCCGGTGAAGTTATAATATTTTATTTTTTATGAATATTTATTAGCACTTATACGAATATTTTTTTTTAGGCTGAGTTATTTCTTTTTTGTCAAATTAAACAGAATCAAAAAAGATTTTTATTTGATTTTCTATTGGGCAGAGCTTCCAGCATGACCCATTGTAGGAATATCTATTTCATTAAAATGACCAAAAACATAAACTAGACATCGATTTATAGATTTTTACTCGTAACTTTGTAAATTATTTCTTTAATAAAAATTGTCCAATATCTCTCACACCCACCCACCGATAGAAACCCTTTATATTCAAGATAAATCACAAAAACATAAATGCTTTTAAAAAAAAGTTGTATCGTAAATATATAATTTTTTTGGTATGAGTAAATATATAAATTTTATTTTTTAAAAAAATAATTTTTTTATAAATTCTATATAAATAAACTAAAATTTTAAAATAATACCATATTCACTGCAAACTTCACTTTGTAATTAGTGTTGTTGTAATAAAACTTTGTCTTACGAACTTTTTATTTAAAAAAAAACTTATTATATTTCCCAAAAGAATATAGAATTATCCATTTAACATATAACAACAAATAGATAGAGGGTATGTATATAGATTTTGGATATAAAAAAAATGGAATGTAAATTGAATTGAAATAGAATCTCAAAACCCAATTAATTTTTATAAAAAAAACTCTCATTCATTAACGTCGAGAGTTCTCTTTCCTACACAAAGACAGACCATGCGAACTTTCGCAGCTAAACGAGAAAACGGCGGCAAAGCTCTTTCTTTTCCCGACAGTGTTGTTGGCATAAAACAGACCCGACATGGCTGGAGCGAACGCATCGCTCTTCTCGAGCTCATCGTAATAACCTTTTCATACTCCGAATTCTTCCACTTCTCATCTTCCGACATTATCATTTCCTGCCTCGTTTTGTGTAAAGATCGAGACTTTAAAACCTGTTGCTGCCGACAAGCGGAGGTGGGGAAAAATATCCGAAAATCGGATATCCGTATATTTACATTCGACTCGTAAATATCCGATTTTTATAAATAGGATATAACGAGTTCTCGATGGATTTCAATTTTTAGATATCCACGAATCCAACTGATAAAGAATCATAAACGGGTACCCACAAGTTCCAAACAATTTTGTAAAAATATCATGGTCTATACATCTATACTATTTTATTTATATGTATGTCATTAGATGAAACTTACCTAGTTATGTCCCTATATATTTTTATACATATGTGTATTATATTAGTTTTTTTAGACGGGATGAGATTCTAATTAGATTTTACGATTGATTTAGATGAAAATTTATTTGGTTTTTTATGTATTTATGTTTCAATATCTTTGTATCCGTTCTTTTGGAAGATATAGTTGAGTAAAAAACTTAATGAATTTACAAATTATAAAAAAAAAAAAACTCGTAAGTCTCACAAATATCTATCATGTTGATATCTGAAATTTGATACTTTTTTATTGTTGAAATCCTTACCATGTAATTATTTCTAAACCGAACTTTTGTGAAAAAATATATTGTTGTAATATTTGTTTTATAAAAATCTGAACTTAAAAGAGAATATATCAAAAACTGAAATTTTAAAAAAATTGAAAATTTGTTTTAAATATTTGCATCAGTGCAATCTTGATCTAAATAAATGTTGTATCAAAACGAATTTAAATAAAAATTAAATGAATATAATTAACAGAAATCTCAAAATAATAACCAAAACATATCTGATCAAAATCCAAATAGAAACTATATCACATTTTCATTATTTTAATTCCTTCTTATCGTTCTTTTTAAGGACACATACATAGCTTTCTAATTGCGTTTTTCCCCCCAAAAAAAAACTTTCTAATTGCGTGGTCTAATAATGGAAAGTAACATGTCTGACGTGTCAACATATCCAAGGTGTGGTATTTTTCTATTTTTCATTTTAATTTTCATTTACTCATAAAATCTAATTAACGTTTCCCACTGTTGCAAACTTCGCTTTCCCTTTAAATATTATCTATATAACCTTCGTTCTCTCGGGTATCGTTCTCTTGAAATCGATTGCTTCGGAGAACTAATCAAACCTCACCAAACCCTAGACGACGGCGTAGACGAAGAGGAAGACAACCATGGTCCTGATCATGGGCGATGTGTAACAAATCTCGACCGAGCCCTCAAGGATTTCATTTCGGATCGTGCAAGAGTGTGAACGCGATCCGACGCGCTCCTAAGTCATGAGGCCGATTCAATCGCCACCTGGAGTTGCCGCTGCTGGTCGGAGCCGTCCCCGGAAGCGGCCGGACCTGACCTTGCCGCTCCCGCAGCGCGACGTGTCCCTCGCCGTGCCTCTCCCTCTCCCCCCGACATCCGGCGGCTCGGCGCCTTCGTCTGGTGGATCTGTGTCGGAGGCGGCGAACAGCAATAGCTTCTCCGCCGCGAGCAGCTTTTCGGAGCTGGAGCGTGTGAACCGGATCGGCAGCGGCGCCGGCGGAACGGTTTACAAGGTGATCCACAAGTCGACTTCGAGGCTCTACGCTCTCAAGGTGATCTACGGGAACCACGAGGAAATGGTTCGTCGCCAGATCCGTAGGGAGATCGATATCCTTTGCGGCGTGGACCACCCAAACGTGGTGAAATGTCATAAAATGTTCGACCTCAACGGCGAGATCCAGGTTCTGCTCGAGTTCATGGATAAAGGGTCCTTAGAAGGCGTCCATGTTTGGCAGGAGCAGCAGCTCGCGGACATTTCCCGGCAAGTTCTCAGCGGCTTGACTTATCTCCATCGCCGCCGCATTGTCCACCGCGACATCAAGCCATCGAATCTCCTCATAAACTCCGCCAAAAACGTGAAGATCGCCGACTTTGGAGTGAGCCGGATCCTTTCCCAGACCATGGATCCGTGCAATTCATCGGTGGGAACCATTGCTTACATGAGCCCCGAGCGGATTAACACCGACCTTAATCAAGGGCAGTACGACGGATACGCTGGGGACATATGGAGCTTGGGTGTTAGCATTCTAGAGTTCTACTTGGGGAGATTCCCTTTCGCCGTTGGCCGACAAGGCGACTGGGCAAGTCTCATGTGCGCCATTTGCTTATCTCAGCCACCGGAGGCTCCGCCGTCGGCTTCGCCGGAGTTCCGAGACTTCATCTCGTGTTGCATGCAGAGAGATCCGGCGAAGAGGTGGAGCGCGCAGCAGCTCTTGCAGCATCCCTTCATACTGAGAGCAAGTGGAGCCCAAAAGCAGCATCCTCCTAATCTTCACCAACTCTTGCCTCCTCCTCGTCCTCTGTCTTCATCCTCATCTCCGGCATCGTAGTGTTTTGTCCCTTACCTTTTCATACCTCTTGTCTATCTTTCCCATTCCTGGCAATTTTACGCAAATTCTCCATGCCCGAGTAAAAAGTATTGAATAGGGAGGAAGAGTTGGAAGTGAAAATCCGTGGAATGGAAGAGGATATATTATTAGGGGATTTCATGTCATAGGGTTTATTGATAATTTGATACTTTTAAGAGTTACATCAGTTGACCAAATCTTATTTTACCTTTCGGTAATGTTTTGCTAGAAAGGGAAGGACACCAAAGAATCCTTCTGTTCATGATGGAAATGACGTTGCCTGGATTCGATTTAGCGTTGATATTTCAAACCAGGAAATACTGGAGGATCTTCCATTTTGTTGAAATTCCATAAAAGTTTTCCCATTTGTGTTTCATTATTTGGTGTGAGGAATCATTTTGAGGCTATTGCTGTGGGAAAAGGTTTGCTCTTGTGTTACCATTTATGGTAAATGCCTTGGGCTAGATTTTTCATTAATGTTCTAATTTCTTCGGTGAAAAGCAACGCTTCTTTATGGCCCTCCGTCTGGCGAAATCTTGCGGTTCTGTAGCAGTTGGTAGAAAAGCAATCTTTACGCAGAATGCATTCATCTGTTTGTGTTACTGAGCGCTCATGACTGGATTTTGTCATCCTTATGCTTGCATTTAATTTCATTTTGTGTATGTTGTCTTGTCCTGGTTGTGAACTGTATATGTAGAATTGCCTTGATGTTAGAAAATGATTAATGGATAGTTCTTTCACCAAGTTGTGTATTCTAGGGCAATCAGTTGAGGTCCCTAGACGTCCTGCGCGAGTGTCCCTATTCAGGTGCTAAACTCTAAACCTCATCTTACCATATATTATTGATGACTAGGATTTAGCTGTTTCGCTAATGTTCTGATTACTTTGGTGAAGTTAATGCTTATATATGACCCAATGATGGACAACATTTTGTGATTCTCTAGCAGTTTGTCAGAAAGCAATGTATTACTCAGAATGCACATAAATCTGTGCATGCATAACTGGATTTTTTTTCCTTCCTTTGTTTCCGCCTAGTTTCTTTTTGCCTATCCTGTAAAATGGTTACACGCTCTGTATGAACAGTGTTGTTTTCTTATGTTGGAATATGCTTATTCCATAGACGTTATTTTCCGAGTAGTAGTCTAGATCAAAGGGGAGCCTTGGCACATTGGTTAAGGTGTTGCCATTGTGATCTAGAAATCACTGGTTCAAGTCGTGGAAGTAGCCCCTTGCAAAATATTCTACAAGATAAGGTTCACCTGCAATACACCTTTTTGGTGGAACCCTTCCTCAGACCCCGCTCAACGGAATGCTTTGTGCACCGGGCGGCAGAGTAAAGCAAAGTAAGTAGTCTAGATCATTCAGTTGTGTTAAGAAATCATATACAAGTGTTCTATTCCGATGCTAGACTCCAAACCTCAGCTCAAAAGTACCATATGCATCGGTTTGTTTAGTGTTTTGCCATTTATATTTCTTTATTCGCTGCTAAGAATTATTCCGAATGAGCTTTCTTCTTGCCATATTTGGTTAATGCGTAGGGTTTAGGCACTATCAGTAATGTTTTTATAGGCAAAAAGAAAACTAAAAGTTGTTTGTAACGTGTGATTTGACGAAATTTTATGGGTTTCTAGCAAATCATAGGAAGCGAAGCATTAACTCAGAAAGCATTCACCTGTTAATAAGGCTGTATGTTTACGTTTGGATTTTTTCATCCTTTCCTTGTTACCTAGATTCTTTTGGCCTCTGTCATAAACCATTTGTGTTCCGTAGCTGTGGAATTGTCTTGATTCTAAAGTATGATATTCATATATTTTAGTCTAGTTTGGCTCGTTATGGTGCTTACAAAACATACTCAAATGCCCTGTTCTGATCCTATGTCCTGCCGTGGCTCTTTCAGTTTTGGCTATGTCGGTTATAGACAGAAAGTTGAAAAATAGTGATAGGCCCATGCGTTAGGTTATTAAAGATTATTTCCTGTTAGGGTTTTGACGTGGGTTTTACTGGCTTTCTAAAGATCAAGTTCGAGTGTTTTCTTGTGATTGCAACTGGTTGTCCTCTTTCTGCCTCCTATTTTTTCATGTGGTCAACTTTATGGCTTGTCACTTCATTCGGGAATGCACCTCTGTTATCGTTTGTTGGGCATCCTTTCGACAATACAGAGTTACAGATACATGAGCTCGAATCTCTGAGTCAGCACCTGGAGGAAGAGGAACCTGAAAGGTGAGACTTGTTCCCAGTTTTTACCATACTCGTCTCTAGTTTGTGGCAAACATTCTCTGCAGGTGTTTGATACACAGGAAATTCCTCGAGGATTTACCGCTCATCCTTTTGTTCTTGATTTTCACATTTTTCAGCTGATGAAGTTTCCACCTTAAGTTTTTGCTTGTTGGGAGTGAACTTTTTGTTATTCTCTGGCAGTGTGTTTGAAATTTCTCGCAGGAAACAGAAAGAAAACCGGAATGAGTTGGGCAACTTCAGTAGCAGCCGCAGGCAGCTTCTGTTCAAGAAGCTGTTTCCACAAAGCTCCCTGGGGGTCAGTATGCTCGTGATCCTCTATGTTCATAGCAAGCCGAGAAATCCCTAGTTTCTTGATTACTTGAGTGGCAATGGATCACATTTTGGAATTCTTATACATACTGCTGCTGATATTGAGATCAGACTTTTCTCTGTTTTCACTTGCCCCAATACTCAGCAACAAGCTTGGAGAAGGAAGATTCTTCTCGCTCCATCATACATATACCAAAAGGGTACAGAAGAGGTGTCTCCTGTTCTCTCTAATATTATATAATGTCTGAAAAAAGAATTGTGCAAAAGGCAAAAATGATAATGAATACAACAATACTGTTTAATAAGCTTATTAACTGAAAACTCCACGTTTAGATTCATGGGCTCCAAAGAAAAGACCAAGGTCCAGTTCCTGTTCCTATCCTGCAATACCATGAAACCCTTTCGTTACGTTTCTCATTCACAGTTGCATCTTTTTAGTCGATCCATCTTATATGACAGTATTTTTAATCTGTTAGGGTTGATGTGTTGATGGAATTTTACCTCAAGAACCCAACTGCTACTCGGAGACTCATGTAAATGGTTAGGCCCAACCATAGTCCCACGAATCCGTGAGCCGAGGAGAGCAATAGCAAGCACGAGACGCTCACTACCGAAACCATCACCAATGATGCAGCCGAGTACCCGAAATCCGACGCACCAAAGTTCACGCCGTCGAACACAAATGCCAACGCGTTGATCGGTTGAGTGCATGCGACGAACTGATGAAAGAAGCGAATCAATCAAGAACAGGAAAAATATCGTCGAATCAATCTGATTTGATTTGTATAATGTGATCAGGAAAAGGGTATAACATACCGGGAGCCCTGTCCTAACGAGACGCAGGACGTCATCGTCTTTCGTGAACAGTCGTGCTCCAAAGTGAAGTCCCGCTCCAATTACAACCGCGAGTACCAACCCGAGAACCAGACCCAACTGCGTGTGACACAACAGTTCTTTCGTTTCTTGATCACTCCGAGCGGTCCAAATGGGTTCGATAACTTAAAATTCTAGATGGCGGCAAACCTGAAGTACACGGGAAGCGGTGGCTGCAGCCCTCTCGTGGTCCTTCTTGGCAAATGCGCTCGCCATGATCGCCTAATAAATGATTTGGAAATGTGAAAGAAAAAAATGGTTATAGTCTACAATATATTCGAACAAATTACAAACAGAGAGGAGAGGCCCGGGGTGTGACCTGGCCAGCGACGGCTAGCCCGTCTGCGAGAAGAGACGTGGCCAACCAGACCTGCAAGCAAACTTGAAATGCAGCCATCGGGATCGGACCGTCCCTTGCAGCTAGGGATGCGGATAACGTTACACAAAATGTCACGGCCATTACCCTAACCAATAGGAGAAAACCTGAGAGAGTCACGAAGAAATCAAGTTCGTCAATTTCACGAGGAATTTACCTATATATGATTTGACAGGATTTTTCTTCACTTACAGTTTTTAATGAACCTTCCAAGCTCGAGATGTTTGGTACTCGGGTTCAAGAGATCGACTTGGCCCGTCAGTCTCCACAAGAGTATACCGGAAATAACGTATCTGAAACGTATGTCCATATATACGATTTCATGTTAGAGATTTCGAGATATTGCAATATTTATGTGATATTTGAGAGTCGAAACTGACTGGGATATAACGTGTGCGGTGGCTGCTCCGCTAACGCCTAGACGGAAACCAAATATGAAGATCGGATCGAGGATTATGTTCGTGAGATCTCCAATCACTGTTTCATTCACACAAAGATGAAGCAAAAGTGGATTTTTTTTGTTTATAAAATTCCTCATATGAATGTAAATGTGTATAGAAGGCGTACCGGTGGCGTATAAGGGGGTCTTGGTGTCTCTGAATCCACGGAATACGCCTTGCATTGCGAGCGAGAGAAGAACGGCCGGTGCACCCATTGATCTGAGTGTCAGATACTGTTGAGCCGGTCTCAGCATCGGAGAATCCTTTATATACATCACACCGTCTCAATCTTAATTATCAGTACGTGGGTATTGCACACGGGCCGACGCTGGTCGGATACCCGCGTTTTCGGAGGTACCCGAGCTTAGCCTCGTCCCCCACAGGTTTATGGATGAAGTATCTCGATCTTGGCTAATGGCGATTGATGCTCGGGTACCCGTGTGTGATACCCGAACCCCGCGAAAACTTATAGATTTATGTTGACTCGAGTTGACCATAAAGGTAAAGTGGTAATTTTACATGAACATAGATCTAAACATATCATAGTTTGAGGGTCATTTTGCACATTCTAGTACACCCGGGTAACAGGTCCAAAGAAAAATCTGAACCCGAATCCAAACCCGCGGTCCTCATCTCGTCGGACCGTGTACCCATGAGACGGGTGCTGGTGAACCCGCGAATATCGGGTTTAATGCCTACCCCGTACTAAAGATAGAGAAAGTAGATGGCATATAAATTCAAAAGAGATGCTTACATGTTTAATTCCCATGAAACTCAAAAGAGGTTTCGCGGCAGATATAAGGAACACAGCTTGAAGAAGGCCGAGGATGCTTCCAATGATCAATGCGGATGAGGCGGACGGAATGATCCGTTTCTTGTTTGTAACACTAAAGCTACTGCTATGCATATGTACACATCTTGAATCACTTGCCCCCGAACCTGAACAAAATCAACAACAATTACACTACAACATATGCCAAAGACCAAACAGCAGAAAACAGTTGAAGGTGATGATGATGATGAGATACAAGCACCATACCATTGAGAGGAATCAGTTCTTGACTCTCTTCGGTTTCTAAGCATTCTCTATGGGAACTGTTTGCATCTTCCTCAGCAACAAACGACGTTGTGATGCTAACGAGTGGGAATATCGCAATTCTTGAAACTTGATTGAACAGAGCAATAGAAACCCCGACGGCTGCGAGCTCTACGGGACCTGCATTCATTCACGACCGAGACATCGTGATTTAAGAAAAAGCGTCTCGGGAGAAACGGGGAAACGAAGAGTTGTTGTAATATTCACCGATTTGGCCTATGAAGGCTGTGTCGACCAGAGACGCTATAGGATCGGCTGTCAAAGCAAGTGCTGCAGGCAACGCTATTCGGGCAATCTCCAACCCGAGCTCGTCTAACTTCAGAACTGATCTGCTCACGACATGGCAATCAGAACAAAAAAAAACAAGTTCTTGAAAATGTAATAGAATCACAACAACATAATGATCTTCAAGATCATGATCAACTACATCATCCACCTGAAATCCTTGGAGAAAACGTGAAGAGGATATCTCGGTGAATCGGCTGGAGATTCTTTGTAGCCCTCTTCAGCCATCGATTTCTTGAACAACAATGAATGTTCCAAATTCTAATGGTTTATGAGGGTAATGGAGCTTTAGCTTCCCCTATCTAAAGAACAGGGTCTGCAATCAGACATATGTAATGTTCAGTTCTTGAGAAGACATTGAAATTTGTCAAGAAAATGGGGACAAGAGGCACTTTGAGGTTAGGATCAAAGTTAACCGCATATTTCACTTGAACGGTCCAATTATTCATTCTCCACCCTCGTTTTCATGCATTACCAAACATCAAATGAAGTCTAATCAAAACTGGAACAGAGAAAAACCCACCAAGAGAGAAAAACCCAAAAATCGAATTCTGGATTCTAGGAAACTCAGGTGAATCAAAAGGCCGAAACTTTTTCGTTTCAAATACAAGATTAAAAAAAAAGATTTGAACTTTAAAGTGTCTCACCTTCCAAGAAACTCCTTCCTTCCCTCAAAATGTGTTTAAAAGCAAAAGGACTCATTTTCCATATGTATGGTATCAGTAATTATTTTAAACCAAAACTGATTTGAAAAACCAAACAAAAACGAAGCAAATACATGAAAACACAAACTAACAAACGGGTTGATGTGAAAACTCCCACAGTTACATGATCTGAGTATGACTGCCACGGATAGATACAGAGAGAGATGGGGAAGAAAGATCATCACCGACAAGAAAAAAAAAATTGAAACTTTCACCAGGAAATTCTTGAAATTTGAAAAACCCACCTGAAATATCAGAGATGGCTTTCCGTTTCGGGCCACTTTCTTATATGTTTCTCAGCAAAGCAGAGGCTATGGGAACCTGACGGAAGAAAACCAGACAGATCTTTCTTCGAACCAACAACATCTATGATTTTTTATTTTCTGTCTTTTTTCTTTTCTTACTCGGAAACCAAGCTGGTGAATTTGTCAAAACAAAAGAAGATACTAAAATACAGAGACTAGGAAGATATGAAAGTTAATGGCGGAGAAGCTGATGCGTGGTGGAAAGGTGGAAACTTTGGGTTCATCTTTTTTTTTTTTAATTAAAAAGGGCAGTTATTATTTTTATTTATTTATTTATGCTATTTATTTCTTATTTTATATCCTTTATGTATTATATACGTTAACTATTTCTCTTTATTTATAATATGATTTGACTCCACATAATGTATAATTATAAATAAATTGAATATTATATATCTGTAATTTTTAAAAAAATTAAAATTTTAACCAAAAACAAAATAAAACCAATATAAATTATGATCAAAATAATAGGAAAGGGAGCATAATAAAATCAAATCAGTATAAGCCAGCCCAAATTGTGGTTTTGAGGTGATTATCACGTATTAAACAAAAAATGAAAATATATAATATACTATTAGGTCCATTACTAGTACCTTTTGTTAACATATTTGTCCGGTGAAAAAAGAAAATTACCATTTACAAAAAAGTCTTTATTCGCCCCTTAATGATTCGGAGTTTTTATATGGTACGTGGTTTTACATTTCTTGACACGGATTATATGATGATGATACATGGTTTTTGTGGTAAATAAATATTTCAGTGTTGAGAGAGAAAAAAATGTTAGGAATTAAAAATTATATATTAAAAAAATATTGGACGTGAGAAAAATGTTGTTGACGATGTCATATACAGTTCCCCAGTAAATAACATTTCCCAGATATGCCTTCCCAGGATCCCCAGTCATATGCATCTTCTTGGCATTTAAATATCTATAAAAATTTCTTATTTTAATATTTATATTCCTATTTTAATCAAAATTATTGATATAGATAATCGGATACATAATACAGCATCACTGATAATGAATGTTAAATAATATGTCATATATATGATAACGTGTAACAATGAAAATAATAATTAGAACAAAAAGGAAAAAGAAGTTTATTTGTTAAAAAAATTAAAATATAATTCTAATACTTTCATTTTTTTTAGTAATTAAGTAAGAGTTGATATCATTCGATGTGTTATTATCCATCCTATATTATTCTTTCGCTGATATCGATAATTGTCACTAATATAAAAAAATAAATAGTAAAATAAAAAAAATTAAAATCAGTGTGTTAAATTCCAGGTAATTATATATTAGATGATTGGTTACTTGTTTAATTTTCGGACGAACTTAGGTTTGACCCTCGGTCAATAAGATGTGACTTTGTATTCCCATTTAAAAATAACAGTTTACATAGGATTTAACTCCTGTATGCTCGCACGTGTCCCACATTTGTTCTCTTCCATGTAAATGTAAATGATATGTATACACGTGTGTGTATATATATATATAAGATTTCTATTAGGGAGGAGAATAATATCTGAAAAACTAAACTAATGATTTGTATCCGAATCGAAAATTCGGATATGTGAAATCATGAATCATATATAGATATTGGTTTTAAAATATTTATAAGATATGAATATCAAATTCGAATTATCCAATATATCCGATACGATCTGTATTTTTAATAATATTTTTTAAATATAGGATAATTTTGTAATAAATTTATATTTATAGAGTCATTTTGAAAAAAAAATATAATAGAATTTTTTTTCCATTTTCATCGTTCTGTCAAAAAATTCAAATTACTCGGCCGCCTCTCTCCCTCTTTTTTTAGTTGTCATTGTTTTTTCACTATTTTTCATCTTGTTTTTCAACGATTCTCTTCCGCTACTTCATTTTGATTTTTACTTCATTTTGAATTTTCCAGTGAGTGATTTTGCATCAAATATAGAGATTATTTGTTCTGTGGTCTTTATTTTTTTAGAGTTAGAGATTGTTTTCCACAGATTTTTTCTCTGTTTTTGCTCTAATTAATAAAATATACATATTTTCCTATAAAAATGTCTTTTAAGTGTCCTACCTCTATGTAAGATGTGTATCTATCAGGTTCGGTGAGTTTCGAGATTATAAAAAAAATGAGTGTCTGTAGCTACCATAACTGTAAGACAATAGAAAGTTAGTTTATGCTCTGTTGAAACCATATCTATGGTTTCATTACTTTTTTTCTTAATGTATCTGAATTTTTTGGGATATGGATCTTCCATTTTATTTGCATTTGAGTTTTTTAAATTTTATGTTTCATTTTTGCCCTTGTTAAACCGGATATGAATATTCGCAAATCCACGATTTTTACGGATATCCGAAACATATAGATTAGATACAAATAGTAAAATTTTATATTAAGACAAGATTAAGAGGGAGATTGTTAGAAATAATCTTGCTTTATTGCATTATTTTTATTTATTTTGAAATCTTCAAAGATGGGTAAAAGATGGGTGCTAGTCTTTAGGCATATCTCATGCAATTTGCTCACGTTCTCTTTCTATCTTTCGTTTTTGTATTTAAAAGGGCGTAAGCATGAAATAAAAATATACATCTTTCTTCCTCACGACATTATCTCTTTCTCTCTCAATATTTTTCTATGTTTTTTCAGTACAATATTTTTCGTCGACAAAGTGATGCAACAATATTTTGTTTTTTTAATTTGTTTAGTTTTTGAAGATTTGTAACATATTTGTACGGATCGGATACAAATAGAAAAATATTTTATATTCAATCTATGCTCATCCCTAATTATTGTTTATCATGTTGAGTTAAAAACCGACACTTTTTAAGAATTTCCGGTTTTATTAAAAGGTTATCAACGAAAACTTAAAGCTAAATTTAGAAAATAACAAAGTGACCTAAGAAAATCCTAATTGCAACCAAGACATTTATGAAACGAATTTATTAAAAATAACAAATAAACTTTCAAACAAACAAAGAAAATAAGAAAATGATATATACTATTTCTGTTCGGAAGAAAAAGAAAACGTAAACGGTATACAATGCATGCATATATAAATTTCACCTTTCTCCTAAGAGAAAAACTCTACAAAAAAGGGAAGAAAAGAATCCGAAAACGTACCCATTTAGATCGTTTGTTTAACCGCAGTTGGAATCACGTCGTTCTCCGTTATTCTTCTGTCGGTGATCAAGAATCCGACTACTAGAGAACAGAAACATAATATCATGATACTTATAAAAAAAAAAGAACATAATATCATGACCCAAATATTACGGGTTTTATTTTTTTCTTTTTTTAAAAACATTTTTTTGTCTATTAAGCGTGGGTGAAACGAGTTCGATTTGGGTTTTTTTTAGGGTTCCTGTCTAGTTTAGTTTTTATTGGATCCAAATATTGCGGGTTTGGTTTTAGTTTTGTTCGTAGTAAAAAAGTGGAACTGATTTTTCATTTTTGTCGATTAGGAATGTGTGAATGGAATTCGATTTGGGTTTTTCGGCTTTGATTAAATAGTTAGATTATCGTATCATGTATCTCTAGTTACATGTAATAGAGAAAATGGTGGAGAATCGTTTGGATTTTTTACTATTCAACATAGAGAATTACAATATTTATAGGTAGAAAATAAAATCACAACATATCTTATTTAATCAATATAAATATAGAAAATATAGAAATAAGATCAAATCTAAATATTATGTAATCTTCTCGAATCTTTTCCATATCTCTTAATACGTCCCCTCAAACTCAAGGAGATGAGAAACAACTGTTTGAGGTTGAATTCTCAATAAAATAGCGAGATTTGATAATCGAACCTAGAAACTAGTAGATTGTTAGCGGATCTGAAAAGTCTGATGTGACGCAGTAGCGTAGTGCACATGCACGGTATTATAACTATATTAATGATAATATTCTAGGAATAATATCTTCCTATATATGCCCTTCAAGATGAATCATATATGATAAATTCAATCTTGTTACACAAAAACTGAAATTATGACCGTGTTAAACGAATCATCTTCCACGTTGTGATGTAGTTCAGACTTGAGTCGATGTTTCTTGATAACTTTTGAAGAGCTTGAGAGTTGTAATCTCAGAGATTGATGTGGCACGAATGTACGGTGCATGTGCGCGAGTTGGGTTGCACGACAATGAGGCCGGCAGCGTAAAAAATTGCGGTGTGTATAGTGGGTAGGCCGGAGAAAAAAAAATACGGGCACTAAAGCGCGACGCATAATGCGAGATAGTGTAGCAGCGGAGCAAGATAGAAGAAAAAAATAAGTGACGCAAATACGTCGATCGACGATCGGAGTTTTTAATCGAAAGGGTTAAAAGTCAGGTGTAAAGATCTCACAACGACTAAGGTTGGCGTCGATAAACGAACGTCGTCGGGAAAAAAAAATAGCATATCGGCTAGGGTTGACAGTGATGAACACTATCGTCGGAAAAAAAAAACTAGAAAAAAAAAACAGAGCAAAATGAATAATGAATGTAATACGATAGTCAAGATGATAATATTATTGGATTTAGTATATATCATCATCTTCGTCATCGTTTTGGGATTCAACCACCATTTGATGAGAAAAAAAATCTAAAACGAAAATCCAGGCTCTGATACCATAATAAAGAAAATGGTGAAGAATCGTTTGAATTTCTCATTATTCAACATAGAGAATTACAATATTTATAGGTAGAAAATAAAATCACAATATATCTTATTTAATCAATATAAATATAGAAATAAGATCGAATCTAAATATTACGTAATCTTATCAAATCTTCTCCATATCTCTTAATAATATGTACAAAGAGTTTTTTTTTTTAACTTAAAGCTCGGCTTTCCGAAATGTGTGATTTTTTCAAATTCATCGTGAATTATTTAATTGCACAAAACATTTTCTAGATATACGTTGTGGAAATGTTAAAATATGAAATATCAATTTAATTCATGACTCGTAGAACGTCATATTCGCAAAGATATAGTTAGGTTTTACTTTGAAATTCTATGGAATCTTTTTTTAAAAAAAAAATTAAGAATATACGCACGTTTTGATGTATTTTTTTATTTTGGATAAATAAATGATACAGACCCTAAAAAAATGGACGGCTGTTTAAAAGAGCTGCACGGAAGGCGTTTGCAAGTTCTAAGGAGGATACAGGCCACAGCCACCGAAACCAATACTGTTTTACAAAGGAGTTGTTCTTCATTTCTTTTTTGCAGGTTCTTCTTGTATTGTTTATCAATACTATTATTATATATTAATAAGATAATACATCGCTGTATTATTAAACATAGAATAATAATATGTTTTTTTTTTAAGATGGATAACGATTTAGATTTTATAAATAAAAACTTCCATAAAAAAAAAAATCAAAATATGCATTGATAAGGCAACGGCATCAACGATAAAGCCTAAAGGACACATACTGACGCGAAGGAATCAGACACAAACCAAACCGTAAGGCTGGGCATTTGGTTGGTTATTTCAATTATTAATCGAACCGAACCGGTTAACCAATTGGTTATGAATTGTCAAAACCTATAATAACTGAATCGGAATTAACCGTAACCGATTAACTCCGAACCGAACCGTTCACCTCTCACCCCTAATAACAAGATCGAATCAATCGGTATTTACGAGCACAATTGACAGAATGGGGACAGGAACACGGCATAGACAAAGATTCCTCCGGTTTGCAGAAATTCACCATGCTTTTCAGCTACATAGTTTTAACAAGAGGATACTTCAAGTGAAAAGGACAGGACATGGATGCAGCCCGGAAAAGAAAAACACACGAGTCTCATGAATGACAAACCTCGGGAGCTTAGTTTGACGGGGTTGGAAGCTTTTGAGCCAAATCTTGGATTCAGATCTTGTCAAGCTTTGCTGCCTTAACAACCGGGTTGGCTTTAGCTATAGCTTCCTGGGCAGCTTCATGGTAATTGAAGGAGCAATCGTGTTTATCTGCATACCGGTGTGACCCACAGAAGAGGTTGCCACATCGACATTTGAACCCAGTCAAACCGACTCGTTTGTTACAGGTACTGCATCGGCTTGGCCCCTCCTTAGGCTTTGTTTCTAGGGTTATCCCGGGATCAGAGGCGGAAGATGACGGAGGGGAAGTGATCTTCATCCCCATGGATATAACTTGAACATCCGAAGATGGACCTGAAACGGTTTCCTTGACAGTGTCAATGCCGGAAGATGATCCAGCCACTGCAGAAGCAAGCTTAGCATCCTGTTTTTCCTGAAACAGCATAGCCTTGTGACACTTTGAACACATGTTCATCGTAGCCGGGCTACCAAAGAAACCGCAATTGTTGACACACAGCTTCGGACATTCTGGTGGGGTTTGGCAGCCAGTCTTGTCGTGCTCCATTCTGCACACGCATAATAATATCAGCCCCCTTTACTCCCACAGAAACAAAAACAGACTTGACATCAGCAGCAGTTTCGATTCCTCTTACATCAATTTCACATGCAACAACGGCTGCCACACAGAACATTCAAGCAAATCATGAACCTATCGGTTTCACGAAATCACCGATCACATAGTCTATAACTGATGCCGGTGGAACTTCCCCTGTGGGATAAAGTAAGACTCGATGCATAAGCATAACACAACCAATCTTTTTGTTCTGCCCTTACCAGTGACATAAACAAACAGATCTAACAAGCTTGTCTACCATTGGTATAGAAGAATTTATACTGATAACACCGAACTCTAAGAACAGAAAACATATCCCAAGAGATTTGAAACCTGATTCCAACCATTTAGAGCACTAAGGGGCAGCTAAATGTTATCAGCACCGAATCTAATCAGAATCAGGCGAATTGTAACACAAATAAGTCATAAAATCCAATCAAAGCTAATCAGAATCAACCAAATGGGTATCACCAAATCAGTCCCCTGAATTCGTGATTTGACATAAGGGAAAAAAAATCAAAACTTTCAGAATTCCTACGAATGAAACATACAAATCAATACGTAAACAGAGTGCGACAAACAAAACCACTGAGCTTCGGATTCCATATGAAGCAAAACGCAAAGCCCAGGAACATTTCTCATCACTATCGACATCTTCGTATTAAACCCTAAAAAACCCAACAATCAAATACCATGATCACTCACCTGTTTGGCCCGAGAAATCCCCTCCTGGATCGGTTCCTGGCCAATCAAAAACATAACCCATCATCAAACAAGAAAGGAAAATCCAATCGAGGAGACGAAACATCGAAATCGAGAACCGAAACAGAGAAAATCCCAGAAATGAAAATCAGGAAAGGGACAAACCCTTCAAACCCTAAGAATCTCTCCAAAGAAGATCGTCGTCAGCTGGAGAGACCCCAACAGTGGCCGAGAAGGAAGAGAGAAATAAAGGTCGGTCTTTTAGGCTTCTCGGCCTCTTTCTCGTCCATTTTATTTAAGCAACGACAGTTGTTATGGCCAAAAGAAGACGGCGATGGCGTGTACGTTTTTCATTGGATGAGAATATTATTTTTATTATTCTTTTTTTAAAATTCCGAGCTCACGCAAAGCATGTATGATTTGACCGATTTCGAATTTAAATTTGGAACATTATTTTAATCTTTCATTTCTTCATACAAAAAAAAAGTTAATCCCATAAAAAACCATAAAAAACCTTAATTTACTAAATTATGTCAAATAGGTTAACCCAATTAATTTGGGTCCAACCCATTTGAGTCCAAAAAATGAATGGATTGGATTGATCCAATAACAATTAATGAGTTAGATGGGTCGATCTATTAAATTCATTTATACTCGTTTAACCCATTTACTATTTACTATTTGTATATATGTATAGTTAGTTATAAATATGTATAAAAAAATATATTAGGATATGAGTATTTGTTTTTATAAAAATATATATTAATCATTATTATATTATATTTAATTTGATATTGATTAAGAAAAATATATAATTTTTTAAGAAATTTTTTATATTTTCGAATTTTTTTAATTCAGTCTAATTTGATTCTCTAGCAATGTTACCATTTGAATTTTTGAACGATTCGATTTGGAAATTATACTAATTATTTGGGTATCGGGTTTTCAAGTTTTTTGATACGGTTTAGATCGCAAATGGTATCGAGTTTTTCAGTTCAATTCGAAAATGGTATCATTTTTTTCGATTTGGTTGGAAAACGGTACAAATTTTTTAATAGAATCCGATTTGAAAATAACACCGAATTTTTTTGTTAGATTTAAAAATAGTGTCAAACTTTTCGATATCGAGTTCGATTAAAAAACAGAGCTAAATTTTTTGATTCGATTCAAAACGGTACCAAACTTTTCGATATTGAGTTTAATTTGTAAACCGTACCGAATTTTTTTATTCGATTAAAAACGGTACCAAACTTTGATATTGAGTTCAATTTGAAGAACGTACTGAATTTTTAGATTCGATTCAAAATCGATACTAAAATTTTCGATTCGATATCAGACTATATATATATATGCGTACATATATATATTTCTGTATATATATATATATGGATATATATACATATATATTGCTATTTATATATCTATACATAATAATTATATATGTAATGAGTTTAATGGGTTAAATCTATTAACATATTTAATCTAATCTATGGTTTAATAGGTTACAAACTGTAACGTCGTATCATTGATACGCCGTCACTGTCATGTCATCGTTAAAAATATAATAAAGCGGTTTAATTAATGATCCGGTTATACCAAAACCAGTTATGATATTAAATTTTAATTTAAATTTAAAAAACAAAAACAAAATGGGTAAAATAAGAAGAAATCCCTGATGTTCTTCATTCCTAATCGACAAAGAGACAACAAACCCTAAATCTCTCTTCATCGACTTGGTCCTCCCTCTCTACCGGCAACGGCTCCGTCCACCATCAAGGACTTCGACAGAATCTCTCTTCTTCGACTTCGTCTTCTTTATCGTCCACTGGTTCCTTGCTGATTTCTTCAGTTTCGGTACTTTTGTGCTCTTCTTCTTTACTTCGTCTTCTTTTGTGCTTCGCCAGTTTTGTTTTATTTTGTGCTCATCTGCTTGCTTGTGTTTTCTCGGAGGTTTTGTCCTCTCCGGTGGTTCTGTTTTGTCTTCGGTGGTTCTGTCATTGCCAGTGGTCCTTCGGTTTTTCTGCTTTATCTTTGGTCGTTTGGTCGTCGTATGTGATTGTGTCTTCTTCTTCGGTCATTTAAGGGATTATAGGATATTGGATGAATGCCTTTGTACTCCCAAAATATTCTCCGAGCATTAATTACGTTATGCAGCGCATGTTGGCTATGTTACTTTATATGTCTCATATTCATACATGGTTAACTTTCAATTTCATACCAAGACTTTCAAGTTTAATAACTTTCAGAACATACAACCAAATCATGCATGTTATACACCATTAGAAATATAATTTCGATATCTACGAAACGATATCAAGAACATGCAATTCCGATAACAGTACAGAAAGTTATGATCAAACCAATATCATTAAATCTATATGATTTTTTTAAACCGGAAAATCAAATCCGAACCCACGGCAAACCGTGTCTTCTTAAGGAAATTATTCTCCGCGCGGTACCTACGGTTAAATGGAATATATCATCCCAGGATATGACGGACGTACCTCACCGGAACAGTGGTACTTCAAACTCCGGTGTCTTGTCGAACTCAAAGCTCGGTTTGAATCACAAAGGAAAAAGATGCTTTTCTTTCTTTTGTAGAAAGCTTTTGTGTTTTCTTTTTGTGTAAAACATGAAGACAATGCCTCTTATTTATAGGATTGAAAAATTATAAAACTCCCAAAAGTCATAAATATTTTTTAAGTTTTAGAAAATAAATGTGGAGAATAACATACAAAAATATCTCCTTTCATTTAATTAAAAAAACTCCAACAATCCCCCACATAAATGGAGAATTTCAGAAAACTCTTTAAACCGTCGGTTTTTTATGTATACCAAGACAATCTAAACCACACAATTAATTCTTAATCGTCTTTGGTTCTCACTGTTGTGTTCGTTTAAGCCATGAACACATGTCTGGTTTCATGAAAGCGTAGAGAACTGGCCAACCATTATTCTCCTTGAAGCGGCACACACTTCACTTTCACATAGGTGGTTTTCTAAGCGTGTCATCTATGAAGATACACTATTTGATCATGTCAAATTTAGGAACCATTAAAATTTCTTAGCTTTTAAGTTTTCTAACTTAAAACCGTATAATTTACCCTTTTCCATAGAACATTGTCTCATCATGAGAATGAGTTGGGTTATATTTGACAATGTTGAACTGTTAGTTACGACTTTGTATTCTTTTTGAACCTAGTTCTTGGGATCTCCAGTCTGTTAGGTAGAGTTATCACTGTACTAACTTGTCATTGGCCATAAACCCATTCCCTTGGATAATTTTTCAACTAAATCTCTACAAAGACCTTTTGTAAGTGGATCAGCTACATTATCATTTAACTTCACGTAGTCAACAGTGATAATACCACTTGAGATTAGTTGTCTAACGGTATTATGTCTACGTCTAATGTGACGAGACTTTCCGTTGTACATCACACTTCCTGCCCTTCCTATTGCAGTGAGATTATCGCAGTGTATGCATATAGGTGTTAATGGTTTGAGCCAATACAGAATATCTTCCAAGAAATTTCTAAGCCATTCAGCTTCTTCACCAACTTTATCCAAAGCTATGAATTCACTTTTCATTGTAGAGCGAGCGATACATGTCTGTTTTGATGATTTCCAAGACACAACTCCTCCTTCAATCGTGAAGACATATCCATCTACTCGTGAATTTTGTTTCACTTGACCAGTAATCCAATTTGCATCACAATATCCTTCAAGCACAGATGAATATTTGGAGTAATGTAATACGTAATTTTGAGTATGTTTTAAATACCCCAAAACACGTTTCATTGCCATCCAATGACTAGGATCTGGATTACTTGTATACTGACTGAGTTTACTTATTGCACAAGCAATATCTGGTCGAGTACAGTTTGCGATATACATCAAGCTTTCTAGAACTCTTGCATAGTCCAATTGAGACTCACTGTTACCTTTGTTCTTTGCAAGAGTTAGGTTCACATCAATTGGTGTTCTTGCGACTAAGTCCAAGTATTTAAACTTCTCAAGTACTTTCTCAATGTAATGAGATTGAGAAAACGCAAGACCTTTAGGAGTTTGAATGATTTTAATTCCAAGAATTAAATCAGCAACTCCAAAATCTTTCATATCAAATCTTGTGGATAACATATGCTTTGTATCATTTATAGTTGAAATGTCATTACTCATTATCAACATATCATCCACGTATAAACACACAATGACAATTCGATTAGGAGTGTTCTTAATGTAGATACATTTATCACTCTCATTAATTTTGAAACCGTTTGTCAACATTACATTGTCAAACTTAGCATGTCATTGCTTTGGTGTTTGTTTAAGTCCATACAAATACTTAACAAGTCGACACACATTACCTTCTTTTCCCGGAACTACAAACCCTTCAGGTTGTTCCATATAGATTTCTTCCTCTAAATCTCCATTTAGGAAGGCGGTTTTAACGTCCATTTGATGGATTTGCAATTCATAGACGGCAGCCAAAACAATTAACACCCGAATGGATATAATTCTTGAGACTGGCGAATATGTATCAAAATAGTCAAGACCTTCTCGTTGTCGAAAACCTTTCACAACTAGTCTCGCCTTGTACTTGTCAATAGTACCATCATCTTTCAATTTTCTTTTAAATATCCATTTGGAACCGGTTTATTCCCTGGAGGAAGATCAACCAACTCCAACGTATGGTTGCTCAATATGGTTTCAATTTCACTATTGAAAACCTCTTTCCAGTATTGAGCTTCACAAGAAGTCACAGTTTCCTTATATGTTTGAGGCTCATTTTCCAACATAAATGTTAGAAAGTCTGGACCAAATGAGGTAGCAGTCCTTTGACGTGTACTACGTCTAGGTTCTATCTCATTTTGTGCATCATCTGTATTCACTTCCCGATTTCGCTTGGTTCTTTTATTAATTGATTCACATTCTCTTTTGTACGGGAAGATCGCTTCAAAAAATTCAGCATTATCTGACTCAATTACCGTTTTCCTTTGAATATCGGGGATTTCAGATTTGTGAACCAAAAATCTGTATGCTTTACTTTTGTAGCATAACCTATTAAAACGCAATCTATCGTTTTCGGTCCTATTTTAATCCTTTTTGGGAGAGGAACCTGGACCTTTGCTAGACACCCCCACACTTTGAAGTAATTCAAGTTAGGCTTTCTTCCTTTCCATTTTTCATATGGAATGAATTGTGTCTTATTGTGAGGAACTAGGTTGAGTATTTGAGTAGCTTTTAAAATAGCTTTGCCCCACATGTTCTCGGGTAAACCAGAACTTATCAATAAGGCATCCATCATCTCTTTCAATGTTCGATTCTTCCTTTTTGCAATTCCATTGGATTGTAGAGTGTAAGGGGCGGCTGTTTGGTGAATAATGCCAAATTCCAAACATACTTCTTCAAACGGAGATACATATTCACCGCCTCTATCACTTCTGATCATTTTGATCTTTTTGTTGAGTTGTGTCTCAACTTCATTTTTGGACTGTTTAAATGCAACAATAGCTTCATCTTTGCTATTAAGCAAATAAACATAGCAATATCGTGTGATATCATCAATAAAAGTTATAAAAAACTTTTTTCTACCGCGAGATGGTGATGACTTCATATCACAAGTATCTGTATGAATTAAGTCTAGAGGTTCACTACTTCTCTCAACTAATTTGAAAGAATGTTTAGTAAACTTAGATTCAATACAAACTTCACACTTTGATTGCTTGCAATCAAATTTGGGCAACAATTCCAAATTGATCATTTTTGTCAAAGACTTGTAATTCACGTGTCTCAATCTAGCGTGCCATAGATTATTCAACTCGAGTAAGTAAGCAGAAGAATCATTCTTATTACTATTCATGGTCATTACATTGAGTTTGAAAAGTCCATCAGTGTGAGGTAACCTTTTTTCCAACATACATGTCATTCTTACTTATTACAAGCTTGTCGGAAACAAAAGCACATTTGAATCCATGTTTCACCATCAGTGATGTCGACACTAAGTTCTTCTGGATCTCTGGTACATGAAGAACATTAATGAGAGTCACTATCTTTTCGGAGGTCATCTTGAGGGCAACCTTTCCAGTTCCTTCAACCTTCGCAGTTGTGGAATTTCCCATGAACACAGTTTCTCCATCTTTAGCGGGAACATAAGATGAGAACATCCACTTATTGGCATACACATGGCGGGTAGCACCAGAATCCATCCACCACTCTTTTGGATTTCCAACCAAGTTAACTTCAGAGATCATGACACACAAATCAATATCTTCCACTCTGGAAGCAATCTCCATGATTTTAACATTGTTTTTCTTCTTGGTCTTTGGACCACGGCAATCCACAGCTCGGTGACCAAGCTTACTGCAGTTGTGGCAAGAACCTTTAAATTTCTTAATAAATTTATTCGGGTTATTCTTTTGGCTAGAAAAATTCTTTCTTTCCTTACCAACAGATGAAGCATGCTCAATAACATTTGCTCCTAAGACTGAGCTTGTCCTGCGAGCTTTAATTTCGGTCATCTTGTTGTCCTCTTCAATTCTGAGATGGACAATCAAGTCTTCAAGCGACATCTCTTTTCGCTTGTGTTTCAAGTAGTTCTTGAAGTCCTTCCATGAGGGTGGTAACTTCTCGATGAAGGCAGCTACTTGAAAAGCTTCATTGATCATCATACCTTCGGCAAGAAGATTCTGAACAATGACTTGTAATTCTTGAACTTGGGTTGAGACAAGTTTATTGTCAACCATCTTGAATTCAAGAAACTTAGCGGCTATGAACTTCTTCATACCGGCATCTTCAGTTTTGTACTTCTTCTCGAGAGCTTCCCACAATTCTCGTGAAGTAGAAGCAGTACAAAAAACATTATATAATGAGTCATCTAAACCACTCAAAATATAATTTTTACACAAGAAGTCTGAGTGCTTCCAAGCTTCAACTACCACGAAACGTTCCTTTTTCGATACAGACTCTGCCGGTTTAGGAGCATCTTCCTTGATGTATCTTTGCAATGACAATTTTGTCAAATAAAAGAACATCTTTGCCTGCCACCTCTTGAAATCAACACCGAAAAACTTGGCCGGTTTTTCCGCAGGTGCTGGTGCAGGGGGAGTCACTGTAGGAACAGCCACAGGCGTAGCAGCAGCATTTTCAGCCATTTTCTGAAAAATCAAAATACAACTTCTTAATATTACAACTAAAAATATTAGATTTTAAAACCTTACGGTAATAATTTCTGAACTCGATTATTTAACCACGTGGGTAATAATCTCAAAACCTCGATGAGGAAACCATAAAACTATTTAAGTGTTATTTAAATCGTTTCCAGGTAAGAGGGAGCCAACTCTATATATAGAGCGCATAATTATCCAACCTTTTTCCTTGGCAAAACTTTCTCACCGTCAACACTTAAATATTTTCTCGGTTTTTTTTTCCGAAATTGAAAAACTTTACTTTGTCTCCCCGGGGACGAAAGTTCGTTTTTCCACCAATAACAAGACAATATATGATAACATAATACACAGTAATTTTCTTAAACTTGTTGGGTGTGTTACTTTATATGTCTCATATTCATGCATGGTTAACTTTTAATTTCATACTAAGACTTTGGAGTTTAATAACTTTCAGAACATACAATCAAATCATGCATGTTATACACCTTAGAAAAATAATTTCGATATCTACGAAACGATATCAAGAACATGCAATTCCGATAACAGTACAGAAAGTTATGATCAAACCAATATCATTAATCTATATGATTTTTTTTTAAAACCGGAAAACCAAATCCGAACCCACGACAAACCGTGTCTCCTTAAGGAAATTATTCCCCGCGCGGTACCTAGGGTTAAATGGAATATATCATCCCAGGATAGGACGGACGTACCTCACCGGAACAGTGATACTTCAAACTCCGGTGTTTTTTCGAACTCAAAGCTCGATTTGAATCACAAAGGAAAAAGATGTTTTTCTTTATTTTGTAGAAAACTTTTGTGTTTTCTTTTTGTGTAAACATGAAGACAATGCCCCCTATTTATAGGATTGAAAAATTATAAAACTCTCAAAAGTCATAAATATTTTTTAAGTTTTAGAAAATAAATGTGGAGAATAACATACAAAAATATCTCCTTTCATTTAATTAAAAAAAACTCCAACATCGCATTTCTCTAGAAAGGACGCAGGAACCCTCCAAAGGTGCAAGAGTAGCATGGGTCATCATAGCCAAGCATAAAGAGGAATGAGACTTAGGGTTGAGGGATATGGATCACTGGAATGATATTTGTGCCCTAAAGCTCATTTGGATATTATTTTTTCAGATCTGGATCTGTTTGGGTCACTTGGAATACTCAACATACTTCGACAATGCACCTTCTGGGCAATCAAAGCTTCCCCCATCCATTCATGGACACTTAGGAAGCTTCTAAAACTTCGACAAGGGGCATCAAAGTTTATCACCACCAGATTAGAGGATGGACAAAACACTTCCTTATGATACGATACGTGGACTCTTCTGGGCCCTTTTATTTCAATACCCTGGGGACTTAGGCCCATCTGCCAGCCCGTCAAATCGAACACATTGGTGGAAGGTAATCTGGTTAAAGTATAGAACTTCCAAACACCCTTTTCTCTGTTGGTTATTTGCTTTAGATCGCAGCCCGAGGAAAGTAAAGATGATATCATAGGCATTGCAAATAAGCCCCCCTCCTCATTGTGTTCTCTGTAACCTCCTTGTTGAATCCCGCAACCACGTGTTCCATGAATGTTCTTACACAACCACTATATGGTTAAGGTTGTGCAAGAGATTTGAGAGTCTTAATCCCCCAAGGCAATGGGACCATATTCTCCGATTGCCAGAAGGTTCTTGGCCAAGCAAGACTCGCCGCCATCATGAATTCTCCGATGAAACTACTTCGTTTCGACAAATCTCTTCGGGGCAAGCTCGCGGCACTTAGACTCTCCAAACCTTCTTTGACGAGTGTTTTGTTGCAACTTTGGTTTAGCACTGCCTTAATAACTTTCGTTACTGTTGATATTACGGCCTTGTTTCCTTTCTTGTTTCGGTAGTTGTTCTACTTAAGCCAAATCTCTCTCTTGTAATGACATTCTTTTTAATTAATACAAATATCTTTATTAAAAAAAGATAATACGTATAAATAGTTAATTAAAGGCACAATTACAAAGTCTCAACACGTTTAATTGTTATTATTCTTTTTATCTCGAAAACTTACTAGGTCTTCCTATTCATCACGTTTTCGGTAGGTGGAAGTGTAGTGATCTTATATATATATTCATCATGTTTTTTAGGCAATAATTTTTAATTATGACGGGGATGAGCGCTGGTCAACAATGTTATTTTACGATAATTAAGTTATGCATGCATACCGTGTGGAATATTTTATTATTCTGCCGTATTGTTTTATTTGTAATATTAGTTTAAAATAAATAAGGATAATACGCATACTGTTCAGTAAAGATCCATAGAGAGAAGGAAAAAAAATGCACTTGTTAATTGTATATTCTTTTATCCAAAAAGTTTATCATTTCTTTCTATTCAACACGTTTTAGATTATAATATATATATATATAATAGTTTCATTAATTAATTATAAGATAATTAAAGTGGAGATGGACGGTGGTGATGTTTTCCATTTTTTTATACTAAATCTTTTGTCCGTAACTATTCATGTCATATGATTTTTTTTATTGACCACGAAATATTATAAATGGCGTTTAGTTATTAATCGATATTTTAAAATTTTATATATTCACATTAATATTCGTTCGTTCTTATATCAACGCACAAAATAACAAAGAGTTAGACTCAAGAATTACTCGCGTGACAGAATTTGAATCTCTGATCTTTGAATAAAAGACGAAAATGTTAGAACTATCTATATCAATGTTTGAGATTTATGTCATGTGAACATAGAGTAATTATTTAAAAAAATTATTGACGTGGACAATTAAATATTTGGTCTACTTATCACGTTTTAGGTGCATGTGTATATACTAAGTGTCGTTACTTAATTCTAAAACAATTAAGGTGTAGATAAGCGGTTGGTCTCGACTGTATTATTTTGTCGTATTTGTTTTAAGAAGTTTTTTTATGGATAAAGATGATAATGGGTTAATATTTTTAGGAAAATAAATATATTTCCTTATTACCATTATTTCTTCGACAGGTCATCGTCATTCTATTATTTTAGGTTAATATGCCTTCCGTGGCAACGTAGCCCCTACGTGGAAGAAATAATAATTAAAGGGATTAGGTTACAAAAGACAAAACTATTCGCTAATAATGAACAATGTATTTGTCGATAGCACAAGATAATAACAATTAATAAAAATCCAAAAATCAATCCAAAAAAAAAAACTTATTCCACGAAAAACTCCGAATTTTTAAAAGAATTCGGCATAAAATCCTGAACTTACAACATGCAACGATTTCCATTAAAAAAAATATCCAAGTTGCAATTTGCTTTCAAATTTGATCGTCGATTAAGTTGACAAAAATTATAAACGGTGGTACGCTGATATACTACGTCACAGCGCTAATGTGGTGTAAGTGTAACTGGATTAACACGTCAAAACATGTCTTGCGTAGGGCTATCAATCCGGTCGGCCCCACCCGAACCCGCATTTGGTCCAAGAGTTTCAACCTCGAGTTCGGATTCGAAGTCAGACCCTAAAAGTTTCGGGTTTGAATCAGATCGGGTCAGACTGCTAAATTCCTTTATAATTTTATGTATTCTTTTTTTAATTGATTTTTTTAAAAAAAAATATCGGGTTTTCGGGTCGATCCGAATCGGGTTCGAAACTCGAATTGAACCCGACCTGAAAATACGATTTTTTTTTCGAGCTGAAAAACTTAGGTCCGAAACCCGATATTTTTTCGAGTGGATTCAGACAGAAATTGACACTTCTACATATATATATATATA